GACAGACAACGGCCATGTCAGACTGTTTACTCTTCCCAAAGATGGTCTCGGTCTTTGTCAAATTGAGTTAAAGGTCATATACCAGTAATCACAGATTTTCAGCAGCCCATGCTTGTCTTGGTTGACATATTTCATCGTATCCCAATTGCGTAGATCGATGCTCATGCTATTGATCACTGGATTGTCTGGTCCAGACACGATTATTTACAGACCGCCGCCATATAGCTGGAATATTTCTGAGTGCGGCGTTAAACAACAACCAAACCAACCAAACTAATCACAGATGGACGGACAACAAGAATGTCTGACCATTTACACTTCCCAAAGCTGGTCTCTTTCTTTGTCAAATTGAATTAAATATCATATAACTTCTATAGTGAGAATATACCGTATAATGCCATTTAAAAACTGTGTCAGTTGACAAAGCCCATACCAAGTCTAATACCATTAAAGGGTTGTATATATTCCTGCACCTTTAACTACCCTACCGGGTATATTATGACACAGGTAATGCTCGTATTTGATCTTAAGCCTGCTCTGACCACAATACCATTTCCACACAAGCTCGGATCAGTGTGTATATTTAGTAAGCGCATTATCACATTAGTTGCAACCCTGTCTGTACTTCTTATGGTTGTGCGTGGAATGTGATCCGACACTTGGAACTTTATGTGATAAATAAAAGTAACAAAACTATTTCCGTGACTTTATGAAGTCTATAGATAAATCACAGTCTGTTGTACAACTCTGACTTCATCATAGGCATGGGTTTTGCTATCCAATAGTGATGGCAGCCGGCGTTTGCGTTTGCGTTTGCGTATCATACCCAATCGCTCCCAGATAGCATTCAGACGTTGGCCCAACATTGGCAATGGTTTTGCCAACATTGCCAACGTTGGGCCAACGTCCGAATGCTGTCTGGGATGGTACCCATAACAAACACATGCAAAGTCAAGTCAATTGTCATGTGCTGTTTTGGTATGTAGGCATACTCATACCAGATATACACATTTTTTGACAGAGCATACTTAGAAAGCTCATTATGTTAGTGATTATAAATTTTAAATATATGTAAGGAATGATCATCTTAGTTCGACATCTTTGCTCTTTAAAATGTAAAACAAAATATTTTCAAGCAATGTCAAATACATGAAGCCGTACATGAAAATAACATGTTATATTATCACGAGTGACGGTGTGTGTTAGTTTGGTTCAATGTCACTTTGAACAGTCAGTATTCCAGTTAGATCACGGCTTGATGTGTCCCTAACACTTCTACCACTTTGGTGTAGCCATGATCACGGGTATGCTGATATGCCTAGAAACAATCGAGGTGAACAGGGATTTGAACCAACGATCATAGATTCGAGAGGACCAAGGGACGCAACTCTCCACAGCCAGTTGTGATGACATAGACGACTGAACCACCTATGTACCAATATTTATCAAGCATATTTACGCGCTTTTAGCAATATTCCAGCAATATCACGGCGGGGGACACCAGAAATGGCCTTCACACACTGTACCCATGTGGAAAATCGAACCCTGTTCTTCAGCGTGACGAACGGACGTTTTAACCATTGGGCTACCCCCACCGCCCCTCAAGCATGCATATAGACTAACAAAGGTGGTTCCAGAGCATAACTCTGAAAGGAAGTGCGGAAGATGGACAGTCTACGAAAAATACTGAGCCTAAGTTTACTTTGACTGGGAAGGTGGACTGTAATCTTGTTTATCGAATAGGAGACCAGCGTGTCAGTAAACCTTAACATAAAGACAAGTGATGATTATGCTTAATAATAATAAATATATATTTATATAGTGCTTATTTCAAGTTCTGTTAAACTGCTCAAAAGCGCTTTTGGGCAATGAATTGTCCTGGGGAATATGTACAACAGTGAGTCTATATACACGGAGAGTTTGCAGTTCAGGCGTAACATGAGGTGAAGAGGTAGGTTTTCAGGTGTGATTTGAATGTTTCTATGTTCTGAGAAGATCGTAATTCAAAAGGGAGAGCATTCCAGAGCCGTGGAGCTACGATTTGGAAGCTTCTATTTCCAAAAGATGTTCGGGCGGAGGGAACTGTCAGTAGGAGTTGGCTATCGGATCGCAAAGATCTTGCAGGTTGGTATTTGTTAATAAGTTCGTTGAGATAGGGAGGTGCCTCAGAGTGGTATCCACGGAAAGTTAGAGTCAGTGTTTTGAACTTGATTCTGTCTACAATCTTAAGCCAGTGTAGATTCTTCAGTATAGGGGTGATGTGGTCTGATTTTCTTGTTCTCTTGATTAATCGTGCAGCGGAATTCTGGACTTTTTGGAGTTTGTTGATGAGACGGTTTGGGAGGCCATAAAGAAGTGAATTACAGTAGTCAAGATGAGACATAACACAGGCTTGCACAAGCATGGATGAAGTTTGGAAGTTGATGAATTGACGGATGCGACTGATGTTCCTGATGTTCATATAGGCTCGCCGACAGACTTTGCTGACATGAGACTCGGCGCTGAGTGTAGAGTCGAATATGACACCGAGATTCCTGGCTTCCTGGCTAGGGTCGATGATACGGGTTGACACTTTGAACTCAGGAAGTGACAGTTTAGGTCTGTTGAATTTTGATGTTATTATTATTCGAGGTTTTTTCCTCATTCAGTTTTAGAAAGTTTCTTGTCATCCAAGATTTGATTTTTTCGATACCGGCAGTCATTCTTGAAAATGCACCATTGGTTGAGTCATTGTCGGTGGGCTTAAAGGACAGTTATAGCTGTGTGTCGTCAGCATAAAGATGGAAGGTGAGACGGTATCAGATAGGATTTCAGCCAGAATAGTGCATCGCCAGTAACACCAAATCTCTGCTCAAGGATATCAAGAAGTCTTCCCTGATCAATGGTGTCAAAAGCAGCGCTTAATCCAGGAGTACCAACACTGCTGCACCATCCTTGTCGACTGCCTGTAGGAGATCGTTCTGAACGCGAACAAGGGCAGTCTCCGTACTATGGCCTTTCCTGTAGGCTGACTGGAGAACTTCAGCGTTCCCTGACCTGATCAAATGCTGGTTGAGTTGTGAAGCAACTACACGCTCAAGGACTTTCGAAACAAACGACAGGTTAGACACAGGTCTATAGTTTTTAAGATACTCAGCATCAAGTAGTGCTTTTTTCAATAAAGGCGAGACAAGGGCCTTTTTGAATGCTTCAGGAACGGTTGATTCAAGAAAGGATTGATTAACTAAATGGGTGATCACAGGGACCAGCTCGTCCAAACAGTCCTTAAGCAGCCACGTGGGTAAAGGGTCCAGACTGCAGAATTTGTTTGGACACTTCGAAATAAGAATCCTGATCTCCATCTCACTGGTTTGAGAGAAGCTGGATAGTGGAGGAAGGTGATCTGGTGAGTTGTGATTGGTACTTGAAGTCTCCGATGTCCCACAAGTACTTTCAAGACTGGAACGAAGAATTTGTATCTTCTCTGTGAAGAACTTGGAAAACGCATTCACCATCTCCTCTTTTGAGTTTGAGTTTGGGAGTGATTTCGACTTATTCTTGAATAGAAGCCTATCACACAACCGATAAAGATCTTTGTGACCTTTAGAGTTCTTAATTGCATCGTTGAAGAATGTCTTCTTTGCCTTGTTGACAAGAGTGTTGACCACATTGCGTTGGGCAGAATGCATCTCCTTAAACACTGTTAAGGTAGACGAACGCATTTGTCGTTCTAACTGACGACGATATTGTTTTGCAGCTCTAATTTCATCATTATAGGAGCCTGTTCATCAACGACAGTTCTGATCCCAGTATGATATTGGTGAGCACAGGCTTCAACACTTAGCTCCGAGTAACCACTCAGAACTGTGCTGAGAGCAGTCTTGAAATCTGGAAGACTTATTTGCCTCCATTCCGATATGATAGTTCTTGGCGTGGTCTCCTAGGTGTTAAGAAACTTAGTTTTGCCATGATGGTAAAATGATCGGACTGGACTGAGTGATCAATCGCAGTGATCTCCATGTCAAGTTCATCGTTTCTTGTGAGGATGAGAAATAAATACATGTACCGTTAATAGCATAACTTGTGATCAACAAAAACAAAAACTAAACAAAAACCTACTAAAATTAAATAATAAAGAAAACAGCTATTTCCCACATGTGTACAATCTCTGACGTGCAATTCTATATAGCTTCACAGGCTAGTAAAATCGTGATGTTGTCGATCGTCGTTCACGCTGTAACCACTGATTTAAGTAATCAATATTGACTTTCTCTGTCTGACTCAAAAATAGATGTCACACATTTCCTAGTGACCATAGTGGCACCCACAACTCATTTCGTTTTAGTTTTACGCCGCACTCAGCAATATTTCAGCTATATGACGGATTTCCCTTTAGAATATCCCATACAATTAGAATGACGGAATGTTGAGGTGTTTATTGACCCAAATGTTTCGTTTGTTTTTTGTTCAAAGCGGCACTCTGCAAGTTTGTTCGTTGTCTAACGCCGCACTCAGCAATATTCCAGCTATATCTCAGTAATCGAGTGAACCAGTGGGTTATATTATGAACAGCACCGTTAGCCGCGGGGTTGGAACGATACCCACATCCACTAAACTGGTCTGCAAATCCATTAAAACCTCCAATTAGGAAAGGTTGTAAGGCATAGAGAATAATTAAGAAAGGAATCGTCTAAAATAACTGGGCAAGTCTAGATTCCCTTAGATCAAGGAATTAAGAATTGTTCCAGGGTCCTTTCAGATTTTACTTATTATTTACTTAAGATTTTCAGGAAATCCCCACGGAAATAAGAGACAGAAAAAAGCGCCTGCTTAGGTGGAAAATGCACCTGCGTCATGGTATTAGCTCATATGCAATTTCTTCTTTGATTTACTGACAATGTAATCTTGCGACATATTCTGGATCATCAAATGTACACCGTTTCCGTACCTCCACATAGCATTGAACATTGTAGTTGTTGTGGCACTGTAAATACCAAACAAACAAACAAGTCAAAATATTAATAATACTTTTTTTTTTACGACTCCATTCGTAGTGTTGTTTTCTATTGTAATCAGAAAAACGCAGATTAACCAGGTCCTTTGTCTCTTGATCGTTTCGACTCGGTACGTGGTAGTAACTCAGATATATACGTCTCTCCTAACAGAACAAGCAGAGCCGCCCCAATGCCCACAACACAGGCAGCCAGGGCACTGTAGTAGTCTTGGATACGGAGGGCTGACACTCCCACGGCTATAGAGTCGTCGGAACACGAGTCCTGGCTGGGAACCCACTTACTGTACCACTTCCTCTCAAGCCCTGCCTCCATCACCGTCATCAGTCTGAAACAGGGTGAGTTTCCATATATACTCAACAATAAAATAAACGCAACATCCATTTTGTCGATAGGGAAGGCTGAAAAGACGGGTGAAATGATGTCATTAACGTGGCATTCATTCCTCCACAAATGCATAGAGACAAACATAAACACTATCAACCATCTCCAGTTTCAGGATAGACGGTGTCCTGTTGGAACAACTGCCTATCCTCAAACGCAGTTGTTCCAACATGACAACGCCTATCCTCAAACGCAGTTGTTCCAACATGACAACGCCTATCCTCAAACGCAGTTGTTCCAACATGACAACGCCTATCCTGAAACCAGTTGTTCCAACAGGACAACCTCTATCCTCAAACAGGACAACGCCTCCAGGAGGAGAAAATATTGTCTGTATTTCCAAGTTCATGTCGAATATAGACGGCCATTCTTGTAATTCTGGTGATTCTGGAAGGTACTAGGATACTGAAACTACGACGTCATGCACTTCTAGAGCTGTAAGACGACAGAATGCCAGCCTCATTTACCATTGCTGTGTATCGCTTAGTACGATATTATTTCATGACCGGAACATTATTATTGTCAGATTTAATTAAGTAATCTAATATCACCTCTATCTTTATATTATATATTCTCTACCTGGAAGACGTGTAACCAGTCAATAAATAGCTTTCAGTCCTTGTCGGATAACTAAACATGTTTTGATGCTTAAAATGTTTGGCTGGTACACTTGTTTTGAATTTTTAAAAAAACCTTTTGGACTCAAAGATAAGTGATACAATATTCAGTCAAGAACATTTAATGTCTAAATGTGTTTGTGCTTGGCGATATAACCAAATGACCATATGTTATTGATTACTTACAGACTAACCCACATCGATCTATATTTCCCTCCTGATTTATATCGTGCTTGATTTCATTGCACTGTAACCAATTCCCCTAAAGCTCTGCGTGAGTTTGACATAACGATTGTTACAACAATTAGCTCTGTTTGAAGAGTACTTACATCCTGGCCTAAGTTAGATATATATCATGCCGTTAATAGCATACAAAGCCTGGGTTTCATTTTAGACAAACAAGCGTGTCTATGAACGTGATAATATGTTGTGGACACGACAGTTAACAATTCAGTATTACAGCAGAGATTACAGAAAATACACATTAGTTTGTGTATGACATGACATCATATCATTGATTTTAACGTGATAAGAATAAATAAAAGGATAATTTGAATCTAAAGGGTTTTATGTAAAAAAAATTCTGTTCATGTATGTGCAATAACAGAGGGTGTCGATACAGGGAACGAAATCATTGTTTTCACATTACTAATTATACCTATACACATATATAAATACATAATACAATAATAAAAGTTTTATTGTGAACGAGGAAGAAAAGACGTAATGTCTTCAATCGTGAACTTAAAGTTGTTTTTTAAAGAAGCAATTGAGATAAATCAGATAGTTTGATTGCGTCCCTGTTCAAGAATACCTTCGCTTCGACTTATCCTTGCTAACGAAACTCTAGACTCGAGTATTTTAACTGATACCTAATAGTATACAGCAATCTAGTTTACATTAGCATTCTTTTGACATATTTTTATCATCATATTTCAATGAACGGCCAGTTGATCAATGATGACTAACATTTGTAATTATCACAGGTTCACGAACAACTTCGGAAATCTCTCCTGTAATACGTCCTGTACTTTCGAAAATTCTGTTAATGTGACTGTGATAGACGCTTTTCATACATAGATGGTATTACTGTCTGTTGTTATTACTCGCCCGTGGAAGATACTGCAGTGTAATATTTTTACAGCAATATTACACTAGTGTAATACCGCTAGACATATGATGTCATAATGGTTACAGTTATGACGTCACAATGCTAATGCCTCTGTCGCAATGGTATTAGACCTTGCTTGACTCGAGGAAAATTGATATGAGAGTCATCACACTGTAGGCAGTTTCTATTCAATTACGGGATCAGGTGGTCAGAGTCCTGAATGGGCGTTGGGTAAATAGAGTTTACCTCGTGTGCTTCCGTATAAAAAATATCATATATTAGAATAGGAAATATGTACTATGCTCGCCAAAGGCTCGCATAATACAATTTTTATTCCAAATATATGATATTTATGAAACGGAAACACACTTGGTTAATAATCTCTATTTACCCAACGCCTATTCAGGACTCTGACCACCTGATCCCGTTAGCAGGAGACAAATAGACTACAGGTCTTGACTAGAGAAGGTCAGTGAGACAGGATACCCACTCGTGACTCTCTTCAGAAACATTCTGCCTGGAAAGGGTTTAATCTCTAGGTTTATCGCACACTGATGTGTAAATCACATATTGTACCACAGCTATACTGCAAACGCCATTACATGAAATTGTACCATGGTTGTATTGTGAAATTCACAAAACTGTTTCTAAATAGTGACTGAGTGATTAATGTTTAACGGTGCATGTACCTATTCGTACTATTTGCGACAATTTTTGTCCTAGAATTATAGTTCCATATTTTACTGAATGACGTGAAGATTGCAAATGTGTATTGATGATATGTCACACACCTAAATCCTTTCTCAATCATGGCAAAATATTTGCACTAGGAGCGAATCAACATGTGCTTACGATATTTGGTAAGTGACTGATTTATTTCATGGACTACGTCAAGGCTACCAAATATCTGTACAAAATGTTAATGCATTGATACTACTTTTACTATTGTAAACGCCAGTGCACTTACTCCAGGTAAAAGAGCCGTGCTAGTCGGGAATATGGACAGAGCGGTATTGTAAACGCCAGTGCACTTACTCCAGGTAAAAGAGCCGTGCTAGTCGGGAATATGGACAGAGCGGTATTGTAAACGCCAGTGCACTTACTCCGGGTGAAAGAGCCGTGCTAGTGGGGAATATGGACATAAAGGTATTGTAACGACACAAGTCAAAACATTGACTAGACAACAGTCTTGTTTCCTGCTGACTGAGTTCTGTCCTATTGCGCAACTTAGAAGAATTACCAGTCCAGAATTTTGAGACCAACTCATTCAACTGGATATATAGATATTAATCAGGATTACTTGATACATCTAATCACTTGTATTTTGCAACAGTACACTCTTTCTAACCCTTGCAAAAGCGTCGTGCAGCGTGCTTTGTCGTACAGCGTGCTCTGACAAACGAAAATCTGGAAATCGTGGAAATCTCAAAACGAGGCTCTGCCGCTAGAAAAGTTTGGCGGTGTGGTACGGACTTGATATTATATCAAGCACATTGTACATTAAACAAATACATTCAATAAGCACAAAGAACAAATAAAAGGTGTAACCAGTAAGCCAAATGAATTGTGAATCATTGTATGACCTCTACAAACAGGGGCAGTCTGTGGCGTCTTTGTTAAAGAGATGTTGCCTAAACCTCGTCATAAAATATAGAAATACAATTTTATTAAACTTAAAATTAAGATTACTTTGTAAATACTATTTTCTTAGGTAACAAGGAATTTGAAGTCAGTGTAACCATAGTTTGTTTGTAGTATCTCTTTTCACTTTCACACGAGAAAATTCGGATCGGCTGAAAAGTAGGTCATTGTCTGAACTGGTAAATGAGACTCATGTTTCGGTTTGTACACTGACTCCAGATAGAAGACCCGTGCTAGTGAGGAATATGGACATAAAGGTATTGTAACGACAGTACGCTAACTCCAGGTAGAAGAGCCGTGCTAGTGGGGAATATGGACATAAAGGCATTGTAACGACAGTACACTTACTCCAGGTAGAAGAGCCGTGCTAGTGGGGAATATGGACATAAAGGTATTGTAACGACAGTACGCTTACTCCAGGTAGAAGAGCCGTGCTAGTGGGGAATATGGACATAAAGGCATTGTAACGAGAGTACCCTTACTCCAGGTAGAAGAGCCGTGCTAGTGGGGAATATGGACATAAAGGTATTGTAACGACAGTACGCTTACTCCAGGTAGAAGAGCCGTGCTAGTGGGGAATATGGACATAAAGGCATTGTAACGAGAGTACCCTTACTCCAGGTAGAAGAGCCGTGCTAGTGGGGAATATGGACATAAAGGTATTGTAACGACAGTACACTTACTCCAGGTAGAAGAGCCGTGCTAGTGGGGAATATTGACATAAAGGTATTGTAACGACAGTACACTTACTCCAGGTAGAAGAGCCGTGCTAGTGGGGAATATTGACATAAAGGTATTGTAACGACAGTACACTTACTCCAGGTAGAAGAGCCGTGCTAGTGGGGAATATGGACATAAAGGTATTGTAACGACAGTACACTTACTCCAGGTAGAAGAGCCGTGCTAGTGGGGAATATGGACATAAAGGTATTGTAACGACAGTACACTTACTCCAGGTAGAAGAGCCGTGCTAGTGGGGAATATGGACATAAAGGTATTGTAACGACAGTACACTTACTCCAGGTAGAAGAGCCGTGCTAGTGGGAATATGGACATAAAGGTATTGTAACGACAGTACACTTACTCCAGGTAGAAGAGCCGTGCTAGTGGGGAATATGGACATAAAGGTATTGTAACGACAGTACGCTTACTCCAGGTAGAAGAGCCGTGCTAGTGGGGAATATGGACATAAAGGTATTGTAACGACAGCACACTTACTCCAGGTAGAAGAGCCGTGCTAGTGGGGAATATGGACATAAAGGTATTGTAACGACAGCACACTTACTCCAGGTAGAAGAGCCGTGCTAGTGGGGAATATGGACATAAAGGTATTGTAACGACAGTACGCTTACTCCAGGTAGAAGAGCCGTGCTAGTGGGGAATATGGACATAAAGGTATTGTAACGACAGTACACTTACTCCAGGTAGAAGAGCCGTGCTAGTGAGGAATATGGACATAAAGGTATTGTAACGACAGTACACTTACTCCAGGTAGAAGAGCCGTGCTAGTGGGGAATATGGACATAAAGGTATTGTAACGACAGTACGCTTACTCCAGGTAGAAGAGCCGTGCTAGTGGGGAATATTGACATAAAGGTATTGTAACGGCAGTACACTTACTCCAGGTAGAAGAGCCGTGCTAGTGGGGAATATGGACATAAAGGTATTGTAACGACACAAGTCAAAACATTGACTAGACAACAGTCTTGTTTCCTGCTGACTGAGTTCTGTCCTATTGCGCAACTTAGAAGAATTACCAGTCCAGAATTTTGAGACCAACTCATTCAACTGGATATATAGATATTAATCAGGATTACTTGATACATCTAATCACTTGTATTTTGTAACAGTACACTCCTTCTAACCCTTGCAAAAGCGTCGTGCAGCGTGCTTTGTCGTACAGCGTGCTCTGACAAACGAAAATCTGGAAATCGTGAAAATCTCAAAACGAGGCTCTGCCGCTAGAAAAGTTTGGCGGTGTGGTACGGACTTGATATTATATCAAGCACATTGTACATTAAACAAATACATTCAATAAGCACAAAGAACAAATAAAAGGTGTAACCAGTAAGCCAAATGAATTGTGAATCATTGTATGACCTCTACAAACAGGGGCAGTCTGTGGCGTCTTTGTTAAAGAGATGTTGCCTAAACCTCGTCATAAAATATAGAAATACAATTTTATTAAACTTAAAAATTAAGATTACTTTGTAAATACTATTTTCTTAGGTAACAAGGAATTTGAAGTCAGTGTAACCATAGTTTGTTTGTAGTATCTCTTTTCACTTTCACACGAGAAAATTCGGATCGGCTGAAAAGTAGGTCATTGTCTGAACTGGTAAATGAGACTCATGTTTCGGTTTGTACACTGACTCCAGATAGAAGACCCGTGCTAGTGAGGAATATGGACATAAAGGCATTGTAACGACAGTACGCTAACTCCAGGTAGAAGAGCCGTGCTAGTGGGGAATATGGACATAAATGCATTGTAACGACAGTACACTTACTCCAGGTAGAAGAGCCGTGCTAGTGGGGAATATGGACATAAAGGTATTGTAACGACAGGTACACTTACTCCAGGTAGAAGAGCCGTGCTAGTGGGGAATATGGACATAAAGGTATTGTAACGACAGTACGCTTACTCCAGGTAGAAGAGCCGTGCTAGTGGGGAATATGGACATAAAGGCATTGTAACGAGAGTACCCTTACTCCAGGTAGAAGAGCCGTGCTAGTGGGGAATATGGACATAAAGGTATTGTAACGACAGTACACTTACTCCAGGTAGAAGAGCCGTGCTAGTGGGGAATATGGACATAAAGGTATTGTAACGACAGTACGCTTACTCCAGGTAGAAGAGCCGTGCTAGTGGGGAATATTGTCATAAAGGTATTGTAACGACAGTACACTTACTCCAGGTAGAAGAGCCGTGCTAGTGGGGAATATTGACATAAAGGTATTGTAACGACAGTACACTTACTCCAGGTGGAAGAGCCGTGCTGAGTGGGGAATATGGACATAAAGGTATTGTAACGGCAGTACACTTACTCCAGGTAGAAGAGCCGTGCTAGTGGGAATATGGACATAAAAGGTATTGTAACGACAGGTACGCTTACTCAGGTAGAAGAGCCGTGCTAGTGGGGGAATATGGACATAAAGGTATTGTAACGACAGTACACTTACTCCAGGTAGAAGAGCCGTGCTAGTGGGGAATATGGACATAAAGGTATTGTAACGACAGTACACTTACTCCAGGTAGAAGAGCCGTGCTAGTGGGGAATATTGACATAAAGGTATTGTAACGACAGTACGCTTACTCCAGGTAGAAGAGCCGTGCTAGTGGGGAATATTGACATAAAGGTATTGTAACGACAGTACACTTACTCCAGGTAGAAGAACCGTGCTAGTGAGGAATATGGACATAAAGGTATTGTAACGACAGTACACTTACTCCAGGTAGAAGAGCCGTGCTAGTGGGGAATATGGACATAAAAGGTATTGTAACGACAGTACGCTTACTCCAGGTAGAAGAGCCGTGCTAGTGGGGAATATGGACATAAAGGTATTGTAACGACAGTACACTTACTCCAGGTAGAAGAGCCGTGCTAGTGGGGAATATGGACATAAAGGTATTGTAACGACAGTACGCTTACTCCAGGTAGAAGAGCCGTGCTAGTGGGGAATATGGACATAAAGGTATTGTAACGACAGTACGCTTACTCCAGGTAGAAGAGCCGTGCTAGTGGGGAATATGGACATAAAGGTATTGTAACGACAGTACGCTTACTCCAGGTAGAAGAGCCGTGCTAGTGGGGAATACACGGGGAAGGTCATACCACCGGTAGATGGCAGGAAACCTTCTCTCATCCTGGCCAGAGAACAAGTGTCACTCATGATGTTATCGGCAAGGGTGCTTGTTTCGATGAGGGCGTAGTAGCCTTCATGCAGCCTCTGTAGCTGAAACTGATGCTCGGCATCTCTGTTTGCTGGGCTTTCCTGTCGCGTTTTCTCTATTTTCTTCCATAACTTTTTCATAACAGTTTGGTTAGATGTCTGAAACATAGAAAATTATGCAATTTAGAACTTCATGTAGGTGTACTGATAAGGAGGTTAAAAAACACACAACAAACAAAAAGAAGGAAAAAATACAACAAACCAAACAAATTAAGAATATGTTAATAGGTGTTTAAGTATCGCTTGGAAATACAAAAGGTAAACACCATAGAATATCCACGGACGGTCATCCACCGAAACAAATTTCCAGCATGAACTAAAATGCTATTTGACTGTACCAGTGATGACACCAGGTATTGCGAAGCACTCTAGCTGTGAGCAAATACTATAAAGCACGACCATGCATATTGTATGTGCGATGTGCTTGCGTGACATCTTATTTTATATTAAATTCTCCAAAACTCAAAGGGAAAGCGGAAATAGAAAGGAAGAGGGTAACTGAACAAATGTTAATGAATTGATACTTGAATTGAGTTACTCATGTAACTTTTTCAGTATGCTGTTACCTGTATGGCCAGGCTGTGGTAGGTGCCTGCAGTTGACCCGACGTCGTACACATCCTGGTTAGCCAGTTCTTCTATGCTACGGAAGGGGACGAACGTTCTACTGACCGTCAGGAAGGCCATTAGGTTACCACGGTACACAGCCGCCATGACGAGGCAGAACAACCACCAGAAGCTGAACAGCATCCTCCCAGAGTCAAACACCGGGGAGTGAGTGGAAGCTGAATACAGGAGGAGTATACTTTGACTGGGTATAGGCTGAATGTGGCATTCGATCAATACAGAACATATGAAGTAGATGAAATCATGGGGACAAAGTCTAAGACGACTTGTAATGGGGTCTTTCACGTTACACAAATACAAACTATTCCGCTTTATACCTGATATGAAGTAGATGAAATCACTGGGACAAAGTCTAAGACTTGTAATGGGGTCTTTCACGTTACACTAATACAAACTATTCCGCTTTATACCTGATATGAAGTAGATGAAAGTCTTTGGACGAAGTCTTAGACTTGTAATGGGGTCTTTCACGTTACACAAATACAAACTATTCCGCTATACATATAAAGTAGATGAAATCACTGGGACAAAGTACAAACTTTCATTCACTAATACAAACTATATACCTGATATGAAGTAGATGAAATCTTTGGGACAAAGTCTAAGACGACTTGTAATGGGGTCTTTCACGTTACACTAATACAAACTATTCCGCTTTATACCTGATATGAAGTAGATGAAATCACTGGGACAAAGTCTAAGACTTGTAATGGGGTCTTTCACGTTACACAAATACAAACTATTCCGCTTTATACCTGATATGAAGCAGATGAAATCACTGGGACAAAGTCTAAGAATTGTAATGGGGTCTTTCACGTTACACAAATACAAACTATTCCGCTTTATACCTGATATGAAGTAGATGAAATCACTGGGACAAAGTCTAAGACTTGTAGTGGGGTCTTTCACGTAACACAAATACAAACTATTCCGCTTTATACCTGATATGAAGTTGATGAAATCACTGGGACAAAGTCTAAGACTTGTAGTGGGGTCTTTCACGTTACACAAATACAAGGCTTCTCCGTTTTAAACCTGATATGAGGATAAGATAATACCCCATTAATATGGATAAAAAGTACATTCACTGATACTTCCTGTAAGAACTACCATTTCAGATGGATTTAAGGGTATACTCCTCTATAGTGGATATAAGGATGTACATTTTTACTGGGCATAAAGGTATACCCTTTTATATGGAATAGAAAGAAATGACCCTGTGTACTGACTATAAGGCTATGCGTCCTGTTAGTGAATATTAGAATATTCTCATTTAGAGTGAGTGAGTGTGTGAGTTTAGTTTTACGCCGCACTCAGCAACATTCCAGCTATATGGCGGCGGTCTGTAAACAATCGAGTCTGGACCAGACAATCTTGTGATCAACAGCATGAGCATCGATCTGCACAATTGGGAACCGATGACATGTGTCAACCAAGTCAGGGAGCCTGACCACCAGATCCCGTAAGTCGCCTCTTACGACAAGCATGGGTTACTGAATATTAATTTTCTAACCCGGACCTTCACTGGTTTGTTCATTTAGACTGGGTATGGGGATACTCTTCTTTATGACAGGGTGAAATACTCCATAAGGACAAAATGTTATACCCTCCAATACAACCATAAATACAAGACATGAGTGAGTACACCCAGTAGATAAAAATGATATAACCCACTTTCAGTATAAAGATATACCAAATCAGTACAGTGCATACAAATACTCAACGGCAAGGGAACAGATATACCACTTATCATAAGGATAATAATAATAATAAATAAATGCATATTTATAATGCGCCCCTTCCACACCGTAAGGCATGCTCAAAGCGCTACAGAATATTTACACTGGAGTATTTACAGATGAAGTTATACATAATATACTGAGAAAAGGTGGGTTTTAAGTCTGGACTTAAAAATGTCAATTGTGGCAGAGCTTTTAAGGGCACATGGGAGAGAGTTCCAGAGCACAGGCGCGGAGTAAGAGAATGATCGGTGTCCGAAGGATTTCAGTTTGTAGGATGGGATGACCAGTCGGTTTTGTGTGTTTGAGCGCAAGTTGCGTGCGGGGACATACGGATGTAGGAGTTCAGACAAGTAGGAGGGAGCCAAACCATGGAGGCACTTGTACGTCAGACAGAGGATCTTAAAGTCAATTCTGGCCCTAACTGGTAGCCAATGCATTTCTTTCAACACTGGTGTTATATGGGAACGTTTAGAAGTCTTGCTGATGATGCGGGCGGAAGTATTTTGGATCTTCTGAAGCTTATCAAGGAGTTTAGAACTGAGGCCCGAAAGGATGCTGTTACAGTAATCAAGCCTAGATGTAACAAGAGCTCGAACAAGGGCTTGAGTTGCAGCAGTTGTCAGGTATTGCCGAATGTTACCAATGGATCTTAGGTGAAAGTAGCAGGTCCTGCTCAGACGGTTAACATGAGCATCCAGAGTCAAGGAAGAGTCGATGTGGACACCCAAGTCCTTAACCACATCAGAGAATCTGACGTCAGAGTCTGCGACTGTAAGGGTGTCGGTTTTGACCTTGCTGAGTTGTTGCTTTGTACCAATGAGAACTGCTTCTGTTTTGTGTCATTAAGTTTAAGCATGTTTCCTGTCATCCAGCACTTGATGTCCTGCGTACATTCAGCGATGCACTGAAGAGACGTAGATAGATCTGACAGATGAAATGCTTTCAGGAGCTGGGTGTCATCAGCGTAGGCATGATGAGAAACTGTGTGGTCTGTAGTTATCCTTCCGACATATCCGGTATACAACACAAACAGGACTGGACCAAGGACTGATCCCTGTGGCACCCCACATGTGATTACAGTGCCTTTTGATCTCTCAGTGCCAACAACAACAGATTGCTGTCGGTCAGACAGATAAGACGTCACCCATTGAAGGGCATGACCTCCAAGTCCGTACTGTTGTGTGAGCCTGGACAAGAGTCTATGGTGATCGATTGTGTCGAAGGCTGCAGAGAGGTCCAACAACACTAGAGCAGCAATCCTACCATCGTCGACAGAAGGATATAATGTCTAAATCACAACATTCCTTCTTGTAACGTATACAAATCCCTTATTGACTCGACCATAACATCTAGGCCCTTGAAAGTGAAAATAATGCCAACCCAATGAGATGACACATTTCTCTGGGAGGCCATAAATATAATAATGGACATAAAATTGTTATGTTGCCTCCATGTTGCTTAAACAATCACTGAGTGACTTGAATGTAAAGGACAGCCAATGCTGATTCGCTACTCTCTTGGTTTACTTTCTTGGCGGTAGCCTAGTGGTCGGGGTTCAAATCCCCACATGGGCACAGTGTGTGCTGCCCATGTCTGGTGTAAACGCCTTATTTTGCTGGAATATTTCCAAAAGAAGCGTAAAACAATACTTACTGACTCTGGTTTACACAGAGAATCAGGAGTTACTTACATGGGCACAACGTGTACTGCCCATATCTGGTGTCCCCCGCCGTGATGTTGCTGGTATATTGCTAAAATCGGTGTAAAACCATACTCACTCACTCACTCTTAGATTACACAGGAAATCAGGAGTTACCTACATTGTGCTAACGGTGCCGTGATGCTCATGGTGAAGCCAGCTATCAAAGAGGACTTCCTCTCTGCTTCTAGAATCTTGGACGGATAAGGAGTTGTTCGAACAAGAAATATATGCATTAAACCCACGACAGAGAGAACAATTCCCCCGACGATGTAAACCTCCCATTTGAAACATGCTATTAACACTTTCCACGTTTTATTGGCATCTTCTGATTTCTTGTACATAACCGTTGTGCTTCCGGAATGCATGAAGTACGTGAACTGCATCACCTTGGCCCGCTCCACGTTATAGGCATAGGGGACAGAGCATATATCAGCCTCCTGAAATTGAAAACCAGAATAAGCTGACGCACAAAAGAAAGTACACACCTGGTGCTTTGTGATTTTTTTCCAAAAATATAAACATTTTGAAAAGGTGAGGTGAGGTGAGGTGAAATGGGGTTTAACGTCGTACTTAAGAATATATGACGACGTGCATGCGTGTGTGTGTGTGGCTGCTTGTACTAGCCCAGACATGCTGGTTTTATAGTACCAGCTCACTGAGATACCATGCCGCAGTTAAGCATGAATACCCCACTCAGACACATTATACTGACTCCGACCAGTCCTTTTTGTACCCATTAATGCCGAGCGCCAGGCATTGACCAACAAGTACCATATTTTAACGTCTTTTTGGTATGACGCGGCCGGGGACAGAACTTTTGAAAAGGGATTCATTTTCAATTCTAATTGATTGTAACTTGCAAGTTACAAACTATGTGTGCGTGTTGCGGAAACACCTCACATATCAGATGTGTACTTCAGTTTAATTTAGTTTAATGCTGGTCTGGAACTAAGCAGTTCAGTACCCCATCTTAAAAACATATACGAACGAAAATATATTACATTATATACGGTATTCAGTGCATAGAATCCTTTCGTTATAAAGATGTCAGATGTGTAGTGTTTGTATTATTAGAATCACATTCCGCTTCGCATTCCTGATTTTGTAATTGCCCAATTTACATCCGCATGAACATGCGCCATCTGTACTGTTTTTTGTTTTCGAATAAACTATGTGGTAGAGCAACCCGCCTTATGTCCAAGCAAACATTATTCGAAAACATGTTGCCATACTCATTAAGTATTCAGGAATATAGTACCAAGCAAAATGTTAATATATATCATAGTTTAAGGTAAAAGGGGATGTAATGTTTGTATAATTAGAATCGCATTCCGGATTTTGTAATCGCCCTATTTACATATGCATGAACATGCGCAGTCTGTCCGGGCTATGTTTTCGAATAAACTGTGTGGTAACAACAACTGGCCTCGTGTCCAAGTGTATGGAACCTGCTTAAATGCGAACTTGTGACATGAACTTAATTGAGAAGCTGCAAACAGTGCAAGATGTATCTCAGGTCTTATGGCAGATTTGATCCGCGCTGTCAAAATCAAATAAAACCACTAGATGTATCATAAAATATGTTAGTTTTAATCCATTTACTCAGTTATTTCTTGTAGGGGAACACAGTATTCGTAAACTATTTCAGTTATCTCACGGTGTGTCAGCTTAAATGTAAAAGGAAAGACGACAGTGATGAAGATCTTAATTTCTTTGGTGTAACCAACGGGAGTGGAAACGCTGCTGACAAACCTCAAAACACGAAGGGTGGGGGCCGATTCGGACCTACAATCATATGTCTCTTCCCAAGAGACACTGAGAATTGTGAGGCCCATCTGCCAATAACGCATTAAATGTACTATTTATATCAGCTAGCCATTTTCTGTTTGAACGTGATGTCAGTTGACTAAGCAAAAGTTGCTATCCGTGTGTACAGCACAAACTTACCTCTCTCTGGAGTGTCCCCACAATTCCAGTGTAACTACCGTTATCCATTTTCTCTCCCCACTGGCCATCTGCCGGCTCCACATACTGGTAGCTATTAAACAAAGACAGGGACACGTGTTGCATTGGGTGAGGTGTGTATAGCATTGGAGTGATGTGTATACCACTAGGTGAGGTGTGTATAGCATTGGGTGATGTGTATACAACTAGGTGAGGTGTGTATATGTGTATACCACTAGGTGAGGTGTGTATAGCATTAGGTGAGGTGTGTATAGCATTGGGTGAGGTGTGTATACCACTTAGGTGAGGTGTGTATAGCATTAGGTGAGGTGTGTATAGCATTACTTGGTGAGGTGAGGTGTGTATACCACTAGGTGAGGTGTGTATAGCATTGAGGTGTGTATAGCATTGGGTGATATACCCACTAGGTGAGGTGTGTGTGTATAGCATTGGGTGATGTGTATACCACTAGGTGAGGCATTGGGTGAGGTGTGTATAGCATTAGGTGAGGTGTATAGCATATATACCACTAGGTGAGGTAGGTGAGGTGTGTATAGCATTAGGTGAGGTGTGTATAGCACCACTTAGGTGAGGTGTGTATACCACTAGGTGAGGTGTGTATACCACTAGGTGAGGTGTGTATAGCATTGGGTGATGTGTATATCACTAGGTGAGGTGAGTATAGCACTAGGTGAGGTGTGTATAGCATTGGGTGATGTGTATACCACTAGGTGAGGTGTGTATAGCATTAGGTGAGGTGTGTATAGCCACTAGGTGAGATGTGCATTAGGTACCACTAGGTGAGGTGTGTATAGCCACTAGGTGAGGTGTGTAGGTGAGGGTGTGTATAGCATTGGGTGATGTGTATAGCACTAGGTGAGGTGTGTATAGCATTGGGTGATGTGTGTATACCACTAGGTGAGGTGTGTATAGCATTAGGTGAGGTGTGTATACCACTAGGTGAGGTGTGTATAGCATTAGGTGATGTGTATAGCACTAGGTGAGGTGTGTATAGCATTGGGTGATGTGTATACCACTAGGTGAGGTGTGTATACCACTAGGTGAGGTGTGTATAGCATTAGGTGATGTGTATACCACTAGGTGAGGTGTGTATATAGCATGAGGTGTGTATATACACTAGGTGAGGTGTGTATAGCATTGGGTGATGTGTATACCACTAGGTGAGGTGTGTATAGCATTAGGTGATGTGTATACCACTAGGTGAGGTGTGTATAGCATTGGGTGATGTGTATACCACTAGGTGAGGTGTGTATAGCACTAGGTGAGGTGTGTATACCATTATGTGATGTGTATAGCATTAGGTGAGGTGTGTATACCACTAGGTGAGGTGTGTATAGCATTAGGTGATGTGTATACCACTAGGTGAGGTGTGTATAGCATTGGGTGATGTGTATACCACTAGGTGAGGTGTGTATACCACTAGGTGAGGTGTGTATAGCATTGGGTGATGTGTATACCACTAGGTGAGGTGTGTATAGCATTGGGTGAGGTGTATACCACTAGGTGAGGTGTGTATAGCATTGGGTGATGTGTATACCACTAGGTGAGGTGTGTATAGCATTGGGTGATGTGTATACCACTAGGTGAGGTGTGTATAGCATTGGGTGATGTGTATACCACTAGGTGAGGTGTGTATAGCATTGGGTGATGTGTGTATACCACTAGGTGAGGTGTGTATAGCATTGGGTGATGTGTATACCACTAGGTGAGGTGTGTATAGCATTAGGTGAGGTGTGTATACCACTAGGTGAGGTGTGTATAGCATTGGGTGATGTGTATACATTGGGTGAGGTGAGTATACCACTAGGTGAGGTGTGTATAGCATTGGGTGATGTGTATACCACTAGGTGAGGTGTGTGTATAGCATTGGTGATGTGTATACCACTAGGTGAGGTGTGTATAGCATTAGGTGAGGTGTGTATACCACTAGGTGAGGTGTGTATAGCATTGGGTGATGTGTATACCACTAGGTGAGGTGTGTATACCACTAGGTGAGGTGTGTATAGCATTAGGTGATGTGTATACCACTAGGTGAGGTGTGTATAGCATTGGGTGATGTGTATACCACTAGGTGAGGTGTGTATAGCATTAGGTGAGGTGTGTACCACTAGGTGGGTGTGGTATACCACTAGGTGATGTGTGTATAGCACTGGGTGAGCTAGGTGATGTGTATACCACTAGGTGAGGTGTGTATAGCATTGGGTGATGTGTATACCACTAGGTGAGGTGTAGATAGGGTGTATACCACTAGGTGAGGTGTGTATAGCATTGGGTGAGCATCTAGGTGAGATGTGTATACCACTAGGTGAGGTGTGTATAGCATTGGGTGATGTGTATACCACTAGGTAGAGAGGGTGTGTATAGCATTAGGTGAGGTGTGTGTATACCACTAGGTGAGATGTGTAGCATTGGGTGATGTATACCACTAGGTGAGGTGTGTATAGCATTGGGTGATGTGCATACCACTAGGTGAGGTGTGTATAGCATTAGGTGAGGTGTGTATAGCACTAGGTGATGTGTATACCACTAGGTGAGGTGTGTATGGTACCACTAGGTGAGGTGTGTATAGCATTGGGTGATGTGTATACCACTAGGTGAGGTGTGTATAGCATTGGGTGATGTGTATACCACTAGGTGAAGCATTGGGTGACGTGTATATCACTAGGTGGAGGTGTGTATAGCATTGGGTGATGTATACTACTAGGTGAGGTATATAGCATTGGGTGATGTGTATACCACTTGGTGAGAGGTGATGTATACCTTTAGGTGTGTGTGTATAGCATTGGGTGATGTGTATACCACTAGGTGAGGTGTGTATAGCATTGGGTGATGTGTATACCACTAGGTGAGGTGTGTATAGCATTAGGTGATGTGTGTATAGGTGATGTGTATAGCACTAGGTGAGGTGTGTATAGCATTGGGTGATGTGTATACCACTAGGTGAGGTGTGTATAGCATTAGGTGAGGTGTGTATACCACTAGGTGAGGTGTGTATAGCTTTAGGTGAGGTGTGTATAGCCACTAGGTGAGGTGTGTATAGCTTTAGGTGAGGTGTGTATAGCTTTAGGTGAGGTGTGTATAGCATTAGGTGATGTGTATACCACTAGGTGAGGTGTGTATAGCTTTAGGTGAGGTGTGTTTATAGCTTTAGGTGAGGTGTGTATAGCATTAGGTGAGGTGTGTATAGCTTTGGGTGATGTGTGTATACCACTGGAGGTGAGGTGTGTGTAGGTGAGGTATGCTTTAGGTGAGGTGTGTACACAGCATTAGGTGAGGTGTGTATAGCTTTAGGTGAGATGTGTGTATAGCTTTAGGTGAGGTGTGTACAGCATTAGGTGAGGTGTGTATAGCTTTTGGTGAGGTGTGTATAGCATGAGGTGAGGTGTGTTTTGCATTGGGTGTGGTGTGTATAGCTTTAGGTGAGGTGTGGATAGCATTACGTGTGGTGTGTATACCATTAGGTGAAGTTATTATAGCATAAGGCGAGGTGGGTATTGCATTGGGTAAATGTGGGTATGGCATTAGGTGAGGCGTGTATACCATTAGGTGAGGCTATTATAGCATAAGGCGAGGTGGGTATTACATTGGGTAAATGTGGGTATGGCATTAGGTGAGGCGTGTATAGCAATAGGTGAGGTGGGTATACCAACAGGTGAGATATAGTGTATCTGCATTATGAAATCGAGTCAAACAATGAGTGGATGAGTGAGTGTCGTTAGCAAAAGGTTTAACAGTATTTCAGTAATGTAACGGTAGGTCTGCTTGAGGTGGGAGGAAGATCCGAAGTAACGCAGGTCTTACATGTTTACCTCTTAGTGAAATCCACGAGCACGGGTATGGTGCTTACAAACTACACATAGTCAATGCGGACAGGGATTCGAACCTACGACCATCGTTCTCTTGGATGCTAAAGGGAAACAACTCTGCACGCGAGTCACAGAAACACAGATGGATGACACCAGAATGTGTTTTGCTCATAGTGAAATGAAAGTAAGGTTCTACAAGTAAATGGCTACTTGAATTCATATAATTGTTCGGAGAATGATACCACAACAGGAAAGCAGTATGGTTTACAGAAAAACAGAAAACAGAAAATAGATAAATAGAAGGGTGTTTCGTGGCCGGGTTTATCTTACTCTTGTGTTAGAACAGTCCAACAGCACTCAAGGCTGTCGCACGAGTCGATGAATCGGGTTGTTTTTGTGGGGTTTTTGTTTTGTTTTGTTTTGTTTGTTGTTGTTGTTTTTGCGGTGTTTTTTTGTGTTTTTGGGGTTGTCCGACTCGCTGACATGGTTGATGACGTCGTAACTCGATAGCGTGATATGTAGGTTGTAATAACTAGAGGTGGGTATTGCAGAGAAGTTTCATCTTGCGATAAATTGCGATGCGAAAGCTTATATTGCGATATGTATTGCAATATATTGCATGAAGTATTTTTAAACAAAAACGTATAATCGAGTTAATGCTTGATTTATAAAGCATGAACACAACAAAATCACTATGATTAAGCTTTAATAAAAACTTTTAATCATGACAAAATATAAATGTAAATAATATTTGGCACAAATCAAACAAGGAATTATCCGAAGATTTCCGAGTGTTACGAAGTTTTCCGAATGAAAGTCAAAATACCGGTTTTCGATCAGCGTTTCGCAATACGTATCGTTTTCATGTCTGAACCTTTAAATACCGGTAAACCGGTTATATTGCGCAGCCCTAGTAATCACCTAGTTAGTTTGAACTGTGTCCACTCTCTAATATTTACAACATTTTGCTACATCATTGGAACACTGCTTCGTCGTGTGTTGTGCAACGAAAGAGGAAACACACAAACCAAACATAGCTTACCTGAAATTGAAGCGCACGGACAGGTGCTCCATAAACTCATCGGAGATCCCCGTGTAGGAGATATTGCCCGTGTCCCTGACCTTTACACTGTATGGCTTCCACTGCGAAAACAAACCCCGATAAGTAAGGTGAGTGAGTGTGTGAAGTTTTACGCCGCTTTTAGCAATATTCCAGCAATATCAAGGCTTTGGACACCAGCAATGGGCTTCCATCATTGTACCAAACCGGAGAATCGACGAGCGAACGTGTGAGCCACTAGCGTACCACATCGCTACGAGAAGTGAAGTATAACCACTATTAGGAATTTTCGTTTTGCATAATTTGACAACTCGATGACAACAGTGGTGCCGTAGACTAAATGTTAAAGCGTTTGCGCGTCACTTTGTAAAGCGTTGAAATATTCTGTTCTTGACATGTTTAGAACTTGTTTCCACATTTGATGTATCGGTGACAAACAAATGCCCATGCCATCCCATATTTTCACCTCAACCACGAACCAGTTTTGTTGACTTGCCATTACTTTGCATGTGTTTGTCGTGGATGCCATTGGCGCGGGAGGATATCGCCACCTTCACGCGAACACCTGGCCCCTTTAAAGGTCACATAAAACCCTAGGGGTGAAAATACATAAATCACTAACTGGCATCGTTATAAATGAAACCCCGTCATTAAAACTACTCATTTCGACCTTTAATTGACTTAAATCGACCTTTTGACAACAGTGCACAATTCTCACCCGCGAACGAAATTTCAACCAATCAGAGCGGCGCGCATCTGTGACGTCATATGAGGAATAGCTTTGAGGGCCGATGCAGAATTCATCTACATTTTAGGGGTTAAATTATCTTGTTTACAGGCTTGTATAAACCTGAAATCGTGACAATTGTTGTGGAAAAATGAAAGCTATATGTTCTCACAATCTACTGTCATTTAGTTTTGTCTCCTGCTTTGCCTAGTTTCCGAGTTACAACTTGTTTTCATAGACGATTCTGTCAAAATCGATTGGTGTCGTTAGGCCCTATTTGTATAATGACTGATTCAAATTGATCCCATTTCTGTGTTTTTTACCCTCGATATTTAATCATGTCATGTAAAAATCTGTTTGTATTCTCAAACAGTGTCGGCCCATAAGTTTTCACATGCATGCAATACAGCAATTAATACTCCCTTGTTGTAACCCGTGTTAGGTGGTATATACCTACATATGTTATTTGTCATCATTCACTTGATGGTCAGTTAATGAATTTATAACAGGTATAATTAGTGGTAACACACTTAGATTACCCGACAAAGGTTCCCATTTGGCATTTCTTGTGTCTGGAGTAAATATTCAACATTATAAACATCGATCAAAGGATTAACTGATAACACGCTGATTGATTAATTACTTTTATCTTACACAGCGGAATTGTCAAAAGGTAGTGTTTATGCATGTAGATTTACTAATCTATACTGAATACACTCTGTCGTGTCGGTGTCTGCGTAAAAACAACGTCCTTCTTTCAAAGGATTAACCGGCAATACATTGATTGATTGATTGCCCATTATTGGCTAACTAAATTACTGTTTTTAAAGAAAGGCGGACATTATGCAATTAGTTGCCAGGTGTGCTATCTTGGGTGACCAATGAGACTATATACCAATACCTGAAAAGATTTATCACTTTTTCGTATATTAAACTGTTAAAAGACACATCATTTGGAACAGTTTTGTGGATATTGATGGATACATTCCTCGAACAAGGTAATGGCCTGATATTGTTCCTATAACTTTAATCTGTTTTAATTTTAATATTTGCATTTTGTTTTTATTCATTTGTCGTAGCATATCAACAGAATCATTGTTTTCGCCGTGAAGTGTAATGAGACAGACAACATGCACTAGGGGTGTGTGCGAATTATGATTCACATTGGCAAACTATATAATGTCTAGATATTACAGTTCTGTTATAAATTCACTATAAGTATTCAGCAGATCGTCTGCTTTTTATTTAGTTTCAAAATGCATACAAGTATTTAATTAGGATTATAAGACCAAATATAAAGACGCACATTGACTAGTATCTACATACTGGTGAGTGGACATTAACCATGGGAATGTAGCAAGAAAGTTATCGCGCAGTATTGTGACTTCGACTTCCCCACCTCGCTTCCGTGGAAGAAATCGTTATGTTATAAGTTGTGTCATGCAAAATGCTTTTGGTTATGATTCCAATACATATTTAACTACGAGTAGAAAGTAGTCTTGATTTTCTAACTTGATGAAAACAAACTATAATCTCATTAATTCTAACAGATTTTTTTATTTTTTAAAATGGCGGCTTCTGTCGGGAACATCCGCCAGTCTGAGGATAAATGGTATTTAGGTTTGTTTTCACCGAAGTTAGCAAAATCAAAACTACTTTCTACTGGTAGTAAAATATGTATTTTATTGATGGCCAATAGGATTTTGCATGACATAGCGTATAACATAACAATTTCTCTCCTGGCAGCGAGGTGGGTGTCAATATAATACTACTTACAATATTATTGTTACTTCGACCACAACCTCGCTTCCGAGGAAGAAATCGTTATGTTACAAGTTGTGTCATGGAAAATCTTTATGGTCATCAATCATATGCATATTTTATTACAATTAGTAAGTAGTTTTGATTCTTTAACTTCCGTGAAGCGATCTGAACACAAGTAAGATATAGTTTCAGGCTTCCACAACGCTCGCTTCGCACTCACAAACATAACCCATTTAGCACGAACTGCGGGGTCCTGTGGAAATCTGTGCATGGGGACACCATCGCCCGACCCCTAGGAGCAATTGACGACAAAGCAACGATTCGGCATGTCTTCGTTGATGTCGAGAAATCATCAAAATGATGAGCGTGCTACACATTTTCTATACAACTAACTGAAAATCGTTCCTCATATGACGTCACTGCAGTGCTCTGGCGACAGAGTTACGTAACCTGTCTGGGGTTTCTGTTGGCGGGCGAGAGGGAAGCAGGCGACTTTTGGCCACTTTTAATCGCTCGGTATTAATTAACCACAAGTTTTAAAGAATAAATTTGGTGTTCCGCATAAGACTAACCACAAATCTTTCATATGTAATGGTTAAAAGAGTAACAAAACAAAGTTTAGTGGTTCCTTAAGTTTGTTTCGAGAAATCGGGGCCTGGTGTAATCCCTTTTAGATAGAAGCTTAAATACACAGTCGGAACCATACAATGGGATGATTATGATTGTTATAATTATAAGCGTGTTTCGCCAATAATAAAGGCCTATGGGCATACCTCCAAGGAAACAACCAGGAGTTTTCTTCCATTGAGCCCAAATGCCATGTTAGGGAACAATGTGATGTTGCTTATACTGATTGTGCTTCCACTGTCAAGGACGTCCCAACGTCGGCCTCCCGCCGCCCACATTAACGTTGACAACTCCTTTTTCGTTGAATTCTAAACGAAGCAAAGTAAACGACATCTGGATATTAGATTCTTATAAAAGAAGAGAACAACATTCCTCTAACGATAAGAGTGATTCTAACAGAAGGAAAGCATCCTTTCCTGGTCCCTTTAGGTCATCAGCGTTCTGTGTTCTGAAAGTAGTAAAGAAAAAAAAGAAAAATATTTGTCTTCTAAACCTAACAACTAAACATCTTCTCCTTACATATTGACCACGGGGTTGTTGTCTAACACTCAGCAATATTCCAGCTCTATGGCATCGATCTGTAAATAATCGAGTCTGCACCAGACAATCAAGTGATCAACAGAGCAAGCATCGATCTACCTGGGATACTAAGACGTGTAAGTCAGTGAGCCTGACCACTCGATCCCGTTAGTCACCTCTTAGAACAAGCGTGGGTTGCTAAAGATCAATTCTTGTCTCTACCTAGAAAGGTACTAGAATCTGTACTTTACTAAAACATAAGAATAATCCCAAATATGGAGACGACTGTGCCATATATAGTCATGTAAATGTATCATTTATTTGAATAAACTCACATTGCCTTCTTCCCTTTCATACTTTCACTCATGGATAATTCCTACAACTCCTCTCTGAGTTAAATCACTCACTTTTCGAGTGAAGTCCTGGCATCTATATACATTCACTATTTGCGTGATTAAACCTTTTCGCAACATAGTTCAAATTCTCAGACTACTCTATGTTGTGACTGTTATAGATAACATCCCAATAACGTTTAAAACAGACATCAACAAAGAACTTTCAGTCTAATCACAGGGTCGATTTCATGGTATGACCCCGTCAGTTATCATATATCTGAATACATTGACGTTAATACCTTTTGTTAAGACTGACTGACTGACTGAGTTTGGGTTTTAAGCCGATTTTAGCAATTTTCCAGCAACATCACGGCGAGGGACACCAGAAATGGGCTTCACACATTGTACCCATGTGGGGATTCGAATCCGGGTCTTCGGCGTGACGAGCCAACGCTTTAACCACTAGGCTACCCCACCGCCCCTTTTGTTAAGAAACAGTGTTAGTTAACACGTTGTTGTTTGTAAAGACACTAACGCAAACGGTCCAGAGCTGAGATGTTTTGCATTCTGCTTGGTAAGGGCATATTTAATATTCCTTAAAACCTAAACGAAACGCCAAAAGAAAGTGTCCCATGACGAAAATAGTTATGGGAAAAAATAACCAATTGCACTGAATGAAAATTCATATGTATTGGAAGGATGCATGGCTTCCCAAATATTTTCAATGTAAACAAAGCAAACTTATTTAATTTACAGGGAAAAGATTCACATGACGATCAAATGTCTGTTTCACAGTTTAAATCATAGAGTTTAAAATTTGTTATGAGTTCAATGTACACTCAAGGATAGTCTTGTGGTCAGTATCCGGTGTGTCCTCATCGAGAGTTAATGCACCCATAAACACGACGTCTCACTGACATTGTTGAGAATGTTCTGCCATTCCTGTGTTAACGGTCTTCATGAGGGGTCGTGACCTTTGGTCTATCTAAGAGTCGTGCCTGGCTGTTGAAAACGTTCCATTAATCTGTTGATGGTTTTACGGTGGCATCCAAACGTCCTTGCAACGTTGGCGTGAGACGCGCCCATGTTGGTCATGTCTATTGTTCTTTCTTTTTGTTCGCGGCTTAGCCTGGGCATTTTAAATGTGTTTTCCTGTCACCTGAGCTCAATGGGGTTGCATTCACAATGATTTCTCAATGTGAATTTTGTGTATTTGGATATTGAAACAAATCATGCATTTCTGTTTTATTCACAAAGGGCACGAAATTCTCAATTGTTGGCAATTCTTTATTTGACCCACATTTTGGATGCTTTAGGGTGCATAGAAAACATTCAGCTTGTGGAATCACTTCCCCACAAAATAACTTCAACATTTGATGGGACACTTTCTTTTGGCATTTAGTTTATCATACAAACCATCACAATATTGTACTTTAAGGGCTACCTTTCATCATTTTTGCAACTAAATATATTTCATTTGTAACACTAAAAGCTTCCATTTAGTATTTTAGCTTAGGATACATAAAATCAAATGAAGGTCTAGAATGAGAAGATGTATAGATCTTATACTGGTTCATAATGGTAAAGGCTTGTACTCTTACTTCATTATTAAACGCCTCTTTACAGGTTGCCTTAACATACACGCGATGGGGATCGACCGAATATACTTAAGCATGCATAAAATGAAACACGAAAGTGATTGCGTGTACAATGCATACGTATCGCTTCACTTAGTATTACATTAACTGAGACAATGTATACATATGTTGAACGATCAAAACTACTCCAACAGCGACCGTGAATCTCACCCTGTATTATGTGACGAAAGGACCACTCTGATGTCGTTGTGATCAGTAAGAGCTATCGATTGTTCTGTCTCAGACAACTGCTTTCATTGATCATTAAATACAAAAGTATGATCAAAATACCACTCATTAATTAGGACGAGTGTTTGGTAAAACCCACGTCAAAAAGGTCTCTTCTTGGTTAACTTGCCTTGCTTTGTGAGAGTAGCACAATGTTATCAAATGTTTGGTGTTGAACCAGGATGGACGTGTCATCACTTGAAAGCGCGATCCACTTGGAGAAATGCCTCAATACAGACTTCCTCCCGACCTTCACGTCAACCTCATGTCCCTACAAAAAATATAGATACCCTTTGCTTCATCTGTTGTACTATTATACATTCAGTGATTGAAATACTTATTCATTAACGGACAGCATACGGTTACGTAAGAAAGCCCCTGTGTCATACACACCCTGAACAAAATACACCTGTACCGATTCTGCGAGCCTAATGATTTAATATATTTTCAAGCCTCTTGGCTCCTTGTAATGACATTGTATTAAGATAATGTAACACATTGAAGTTGTTTCTATAAAATACACGTGTGCTTATTTCAGAGACATGATGATAGTCAACTTTTGACTAATGAGGAACATAATATGTGGCTTTGCATTAAATGAACTCTTCGTAAGTCATTACTGAATGATTCCATACGTTACAATTCGATTTGTAAAAAGATCATATCCACAGTGATCATTAAAATCGTTTATGCAGATAGGCAGATCTGTGGGAGATAACGGAACTGTTGTTCAATAAGAATACAACAGCTTTCGGCTAACGTTACAGTATTTGTATATGTGCCGAGGCATAATGTACGTTCACAATAACAAACAAACCATTTGAACAGTGCTCTAGCATCAAACAAGGACCTATAAACACCCATCATGTTTCAACATAGGTACGTGCAAAAGTGAAGCTTACCGTAGCTAGGGCGTATTGAATGCACTGGGCAGAACAAAGCATGACGAAGTTGAGGGTGCGTCGCATTATGTCGATGTTTTCTTTCAGGACAAGTTCGCTAATGACGGATGTTAGCTGTTTACCGAGGGCATCTTGCTGCGTGTATTGTATTTTTGTGTGGTGAGATATGCTGTCAATTAGACTATTGACACATGCATCTGAAAAAGATAATTATAAGCAGAATTGTTCACGAGATCACATCATGATGTGCAACATCAGTACGCACAGAGATAGTGTTTCACCGTTTGAATTCAAACAGGAGGAATATATTAGATATGCTATTTACATTAATGTAATTGAAACAAATACTTCCTTCACACTTAATACATGCAGTATCAGTGCAAGAATGTGTTTTGCACAAGGGGTGGTGGGGTAGCCTAGTGGTTAAAGTGTTTGCATGTCACACCGAAGGCCCGGGTTCGATTCCCCACATGGGTACAATGTGTGAAGCCCATTTCTGGTGTGCTCCGCCGTGATATTGCTCGAATATTGCTAAAAGCGGCGTAAAACCTCACACACTCACTGTTTTGCACAAGAAAACATATGTGTATTCATTGTACAGCGAAATACACAATAAGCTGATGTATATACTGTTGACGTTGATCTATGGGTTGTTAAGTAAAATATAAAGTCAACATCATATCACAGCACATCACATCACACTATGCCACGCCACTCCCTGTCATCGGACCGTTTCAAGATCGTAAGTGAGTGAGTGAGTTTGGATTTACGCCGTTTTTAACAATATCACGGCTGGGGACACCAGAAATAGGCTTCACACATTGTACCCATGTGGGGAATCGACCCCGGGTCTTCGGCGTGACGAGCGAACACTTTAATCACTTGGCGACCCCACCACCTCTTGCGCAAAACACATTCTCAATATCATGTTGTACATATTCACGTACTTGAGACTACCTCAAAAACACTAACCGACATACGACTGAATATCTTTTTTACATATTCACGTACTCGAGACTACCTCAAAAACACTAATCGACATACCACTAAATATCCTTTTTACATATTCACATGCTTGAGACTACCATAAAAACACTAACAGACATACAACTGAATATCATTTGTACATATTCACGTACTTGACACTACCTTAGAAACACTAACCGACATACGACTGAATATCATTTGTACATATTCACGTACTTGACACAACCTTAGAAACACTAACCGACATACGATATAATATCATTTGTACATATTCACATACTTGAGACTACCTTAAAACACTAACCGACATACGACTGAATATTATTTGTACATATTCACGTACTTGACACTAACCGACATACCATGCTTGAAAATACACAATGTATGACAAATGAATTTATTTGTATCCATTTTCGAGAATATTGCAAACATTGTCCCGAAATCTGACGTTATGTAAATCTGTTCTACCAACTCAGTGACTTCATAATTACCCTGTTCATCCTCGTATATAATGAACACTGTCTCCATGTCTTCACGTGTGATAATGTTGGAGACTATCGGAATAGTACTGTCCTTGCACATAACGTCATCTGGACTGGAATCTGAAAATGAAAAATATTTAATCCCGATACATGGACAGCAGCGCAGTCCATGAATTCTAGTTTCTGTATAAAGGGCGTTTTCTGGTAATGAAAATTACATTCGGGACAAATATATACTAGGCACATAAAGAACCTGTGCATACAAAAATTTAAAATCTAAATTTATCAAACCTGTGTAGACAAATAAGGATTTAAACTCAGAGATTAGTGACATGTATCTAACATGCATGTACGTGCCACGTTCCGTGACGTCAGTGGGTTCGTCCTTGAGACGTGCAATACGTTGTTGAACGTGCATTCCGGGAAAGAGAAACAGAGCAAATGAATGCCACACAATACTGTCACTTTGGAAAGCTCAACCCCTGCCCATGCGATCGTTCAAAAAATTAAACGGCTATTGAAACACAACGTCATGAGGCCATTGGGATGGTCCGTGGGGGAATGTCTCAACGACAAGTGGCTGCACATTTCCACTGCCACCGGAACACCATTTCTGCACTGGTGAGACGCTACCAGAACACAAATGACGTCATCGATCGGCCACGTTCTGGACGTCCACGTGTAACAACGCCAAGACAGGACAGGTGGATAAGGGTTACCCATCTTCGCCACAGGTTTCAGACTGCAGTGATGACTGCCCGAACCATCCCAGGACGTCGCCGTATCCACCCCAACACAGTTCGACAACGTTTACGTCATTACGGGATCAGACCACGACGTCCTGCCATACGGCCTATCCTGACACAACGTCATCGACAAGCTCGCCGAATGTGGTGCCGAAATCATGTCCGCAGACCCTTGTTTTGGTCGAAAAATGTTGTTTTTACAGATGAGTCCAGGTTTAACATTTCCCATAGTGATGGACCTCAACCTGCCTATAGACGCGTGGGAGAACGTTATGCACAGGCCTGTGTCTTGGAGAGGAATCGCTTTGGTGGTGGTTCCGTGATGATTTGGGGTGGAATAACAGCGCGCCAAAGAACTTTGGTGATTCTTCAGGGCAATTTAACTGGTGTGGGCTACAGGGATCAGATTCTTCGACCTGTGGCAATTCCTTTTCTGCAACGTCATGGCCCTGGGTTAACATTCCAACAGGACAATGCCCGCCCTCATACGGCAAGGGTTGCTATGGATTTCTTGCAACACCACAACGTTGACTTACTGTCTTGGCCTGCAAATTCACCGGATCTCTCCCCGATAGAGCATGTTTGGGACGAGATGGGTCGACGTCTACGCCGTCTTCCTCATCCGCCAGATAACGTCCTTGACCTTGCAACAGAACTTGAGAGAATCTGGCGTGATATCCCACAAGCCTTCCTTGCACGTTTGATAGGCTCTATGCGTTGTTGATGCACTGCTGTTCTCAATGCCGATGGTGGACATACCCGTTATTGAGCTTGTGACATGGTCGTTTGACCCCTGTCCCGCTTGTGGACTCGTGAGGTCATTGTGATTGACTTTTCAATTGAAATTCTCCCGACTTGTTATGGTCTCATGTTCCCTCCATTAAAGTTTATATGTACCTTTGACATTGTTATCGTACTTATCAACTGGGATAATATTTTGACAATGCATTTTCTTTATGTAGCTAGTATTTAATTATTTGTTCTGTAGATCAGAACCTAGAGTTTTGGAGTGACAAAAACTAACCACAACACGGTGCAGCATTAGGGAAGACTTCATCTTTCCAATAGTCAAACCTCTTCTTTTTCCGGAAATCAAGCTAGTCGTAAGAGGCGACTAACGGGATCGTATCCAAAGTACGTAGATTAATGCTTATGATGTCAATCACTGGATTGTCTAGTGCAGACTCGATTATTTACGCCACATAGCTGCATTATTGCTGAGCGCGGCGTTAAACAACAAACAAGCCTTTTCTTTACGTCTTGCGATATTCCAGCAGTTCCAGTATTTCGTTTATGCTTTTGGTAGTCATATCGATGACACAAGTAACACATCAGTAACAACAATGATTACTTATACCATATGTTCAAGTGGCCCTTCAGCGAACAGCAGATTTGCCTTTGCGTGTGTTTTTGACTGACAGGATACGCTCACCTCCACTACATCAGTATCATTATACAATGGAGGGCGATTAAAAGACCTGTCTTATAATAATGGAAATGGGTTTTTTCACTGTTATTCCCCGTTACCAAAAAGAAGTAACAAAAATCATTATGGCATCTATTACTTTCAGTAATGGGTGCCTTCAACAAGTGCAAATAATGGCCTCATTCAGATATATCCATGCCTTTAATGCTTGTGATATCTATATTCAATCGCAGAAACACTGATGATAACAAATTTGAAATCAATAAACTGATTGAAATCATTTAAACTATTGCGTTACTGGCTCTGTACATGTAGTGCACGTGCACCGCATCAAAAATATGCCATACACATTACATTATCTGCACTTGCATCGTAAAAAGTCTCTGTGAGTAAGTAAAGGGCTAATACATAAGATTTCCATGTAATCAAAGTGTGCACGTGCTTTTATCGTATTTAAATGAAAATGATGATGAAAACGTGAATCTTATTTATTCAAATTCGACGTTACTTTGTCAGTTCTCCCTGCAACCCCAGCTGTTTCACGGAACTCGTCTATAATCGATAAATTACACTGTTTTATTTATCATTGATTCGGACAACACGAGATATCGACGTCCTCTAGTCTATCGCATTCGCTAATTTGTCTGTTTATTGAGATTCTGTATCGGAATATTTTTTACATGTGTGTTTAGCTCAAATCTGCGTTTGTGCGTTTCGCGCATTGACGTTTGGGTCCACGTTATTCACGTGCTGTTTATGCATGATGAGAATTTTCGATCTGATGCAACGCCATGGTAATGTAAATGTACACTTCAATTGTAGCTACATTGAAATCTTTGGTTTCCTTAGGGACAGTTCATAATTTATGGCTAGGGGGTGATGATGAGTTTAGGAGGGTCAGCAATTTTGTACATAAAAATATTTAAAAATATTGCTTTAAAAATATGGAAAGGGAGGGGGGCATTGATTTTGTACATGACACGGTGGGGGCTTAGTTGTACATAAAATTTTGGGGGGATTGTACATGCTTCTCCATAAAAATGGAGTTATGAACGGTCCCTTACTCAATCAAGCCTCGAGACTTGTCATTCATTTCACGCTGAAATATTGCCTTTGATTATATTTCTTTGTTTCAACCTTTACCAGAACAAACATATATGTACAGCTGTAACAGCTCCCATGTGACTGATGAACACGGTTTTATTTACTATTGAATAACTGTAGCATACACAAATACATTATTTCAGCACCGATATATGGTTTTTTCTTGATTTAAAGCCCCTACTGTCAAATTTCTTGGTAAAATAATTAGCGAACATCGACGTATCTTGATATGAAAGCACCACAAGTTCGGAAACAAATTAAATCAAAAGTACTCAATTAAATGTATATTAAAATCACTTCTTTATGATTTTCAGAAAGATATTTCTATTATTCAAAATATAAATGAAAAAATACAACATGTTAATACGTGGAAGGTTGGAATTGTCACGTGTAGAGTACTGGACAGATCTCGATGGTGACCAGAAATATGGCTGTGCCACTGTTTAATAGTGTCAACATAGGCACTACGCAGACTTATCGACCACACCTGCATGCAAGGCCTGTGTACATACACCAACAGTCCACTGCATTAAATAGATACACGTCGATGTCAAAACATTTGCTGATGTCATTACTGTCCCAATCGAAACGGGAAAAACAACAGTTTCAAGAACAAATACATCATCCAATGAAATAGTCTCACAAACGTTTCAAAAATACAGAACTGAAAACAGAGACGTGAATGGAGTATGACAAGTAATATTAACACTATGACGTGAAGAACTAAATACTTTTACTTGTGCATGTTTAACAAACAACGGCGCTATGATAATATGCTTACCTTTCGTTGTTAGAACCATGCTGGTTTGAGATGCTGCCGTTTGGGCCAAGGTAGAAAGAAACAGAAGAGAAAACATAGTGATGCTGATTGAATCGGAGGAGGCGCCAGACCGTTATGAAAACATCCGTACATATACCCGTGATATCAATCGATACCACATAGCACAGATCGAACGACCCGCATTGAAAGCTATTCACTTGGTAATTGATGGCATGTTGTTTTGGGAATATCGTATAATTCAATTTTGGTTTTTGGAAATGTGATCGTCATTGTCATGGTCCAAAAGCTCCTGAAGACAGTCCTTGTTTTTAATTTGAAAATTTATTCGTTTATGCAACGCAGGTGGTATAGAAAGCCATTAGCGTAAATGGTAGGGATGTTCTCTAAACGCCTCCCCTGGGGCGAACTGCCTTCAGCAATAGACGCTACTGTCAGCGAGCTTCCACACAAATCAATCAATCCGAATTCCAGCTGTTATCTCTTTCTACTGAATCCCGTAAGAACGTGATTAATTTATTTTTTTATGATCAGAAAACATCTTAAAAATCATCTTTCAAAGTTCAATTTACTGACACATTTTGAAAAATGCACATGTACCTGTATAGAAATAAGCATGCACATGTATTCTGTAAAGTAGTAATTTTGTTCGTCAGATGCGTATTTTCTTTTCTTTTTGCATGCGCTCGTGTTGTGTGTTTTACAAACAAGACATATTATTTTGCCCTTTAAAAAGTTACATGAATGTCGTAAATAATGAAAATTCACTTTTCCAAAAACTAAGTTTTGTTCTTTTTTTCAAAGAAATATGTTTGGAAACATAATATCATCGTGTTTCAAAGTCTAGGCAACATCTCTGCAGAACGAAACTTTTTCTGATAAATGTAAATAATTATATACTCCAGCATATACGTTTCTTCTACTCGTCGCTATCTTGCTGACATAACACCGAAGAGACGTTAAATGTAAACGCACTAGCCCCCTTACCAACTGGATGGTGGTCAAGTATAATAGAGTATTGTCATTTAGTACGTGTCAATGCGTACAATTCTCGCCATCTAACTTTGCAGCAGCATGCACGTTATAGGACGTACTGCGCCGGTCATGTCCAGCTTCACAGGCCTGCCCAAAGAGAGAAAATGAAAGATGACATTTTCAAACATTTAAATTTTTTGGGAAGATACCACCCAGCTTAAGAATCGGAAACATGACGCGTAGCACGGGAATTACAATTGCTATACCATAAACGAAAATAAATAATATTTCAAAAGCGTGTTATACTTTGGCAAAGCAAGCAGATAAAGCCTTAGCGCCCATTCGGAAAATGTTCAATCGTTTTCAGGACATACCAGTTAACACTTTTTCAGTATTTTGTAGTGTAAAATCCAGCCTATTCTCCTCTATGGGTCAGAGTTGTGGGTTGTTTTTGTAAATAAACCAATAAAGAAAGTTCACACCACGTTTTGTAAACATGTTTTGAAAATAAGTTATAGATCTTCTAATGTCGCAGTATTGAGTGAATGTGGGCGCATGCCACTTATTGCAAACATTAACGTGTTATAAAATTCTGGCTAAAATGTTAGCATGGCAAATGGTTTGGTCATACATTGTTATTATATGTTCAAACATTTTGATTGTTAAGGTTATAAAAATTGAGAATCATGCGTCCGATTTATATTATTTTCGCGTGGTTTAGCATACGTTTGGCAACCTCAGGATGTTGGTGATGTGACATAATGCATTAGCATATTTAAATTACGAACGAAAGATGTATGGATGCAAGACTGGTCTGCTCGTTTGCACGAAGCTTTAATGTTAACATCTTACTGTACCTTCAATACAACCCTCCAATGGAGCCATATTAAATCATTAAACCAAATCAAATCATCTAAAATGCGTCGCTTTCTTACTAAATACCGTTGTTGTGCTTCTGAATTAAAGATTGCAGCATATAGACGGTCCGTTTCGAATACGATAATCGATGCAATGTGCCCGCTTTGTGATGTTGGTCTTGAAGATGAATACCATACCTTATTAATTTGCCCATTGTACACACATGTAAGAGATAAGTATCTACCACTATATCACCATAAGTACCCATCTAAACAAAAAATTATTCAATTACTGTCCAGCCATGATACTACTATTTTTTTAATCAAGCAATTTATGTAACTAAAATGTTTAATGCCCGCAATGCAAATCTTGCACTTATATAACAAACCACAATGTTTGATTTATTTATGTAATTGTACTACAGGCCTCACGGGCCATCATCTATATAATAAAGAGTCTGAGTCTGAGTGTGAGCATTACTATGGCAAATTAAGAATAAATTAACAACAAACCAAGACATGCAGGGGGTTAATAGATAACTCTTTACGTGTCGCTTCTAGCAGAAGAAGACACACCTTGTTTTTTACCAAGGGCTGACATTTTCAATTAATGTCCCTTGTGGCATGGTCTACTCATCTAAAATGTGTAAAATATATAAACATTTTAAAGTCGTTCGAACGCACAATGAGAATATCAGAAAAGTATTGCATATTTCAGAGCTGGATTTATCTGGAATCGTATATAGAATATATACTGAGTAAAAACTAAAAAAAACTAAATGAACTAACTAAACTGAACACAACTAAAATGACAACAGGCATGTACTCTGAGTGAGTAAGTGAGTTCAGTTTTACGCCGCTTTTAGCAATATTCCAGCTATATCCCGGCGGAAGACACCAGAAATGGGCTTCACATATTGTACCCATGTGGGGAATCGAACCCGGGTCTCCGGCGTGATGAACGAACGCTTTAACCACTACGCTACCCCACCACACCGCATGTACTCTGAGACAATAGCAGCGAGTCATGATTTCTTCTGTAAAGGCAAGATGTCTACTGACGTCGAAATGAACATTTTGCACCGAACTGCATTCGTGGTTTCGTCGGGTCTGCAGATTCAAATGTAAATGTGATCTTGTGGGGAGCCGTATCCTATCACGGAGATCTGACTTGGTGGTGGTCCCAAGGAATCTGACAGCATGTCGGTACATCGACCACATTATTCAACGTCACATGCTACTGATGTTTCATGATCATTAGAAATTGTTCAAATTTCTGTTATGGGTTGTTGAATGAATGATAATTTTCTGATGATTGAAAAATGGGTGCCTGATATCATGGGTCTCTTACTGCCATTTAATGATGTTTTCATTTTAGTTAAAATTGCAATATTTCGTTTCTTGTCACCTGGAACAAATTGTGTATTTGAGGAAGGTCAACAGTTGGGGGAGGTGGAGTGTCATGCTGTAACATGTTTGAATCCAGATATATCAGCACACATTCAACACAACTATGTTCAAAGTTCAACACTGTTTCAAACCTCCCACTGATTTCATTTAACACAATTTGTTGACGCCATCGAATGATTGAATGAACTGCCGGATCTGTTATGTCGTTTTAACTCATTCCGGGACTAGAATATATCCCACCAACTGATGGACACAAACAAACAACACTGAAACCAATAAAGAATTCAATCATTCAAAACAACGATGTAAATACGTAAATGGAAAATCCAGCAAGGGAACGCTGTGTATGAACATCATTTAATAGCTGCTCAAAATGTTTGTTCGGCACGTACTAATCTTGTCAAAGCATGAAGAAGTTAGATACATCACGCACCATAGCAGTTTAAGCGGCACGGTATGATCCGAATCTATCTCTCAGGGCAATCTGATGGAGTTTTGTTGAATCAGTGTTCATTGATGTGATTCAGATGGGATTCGGTTTAAGGTGAATCGCCATCTTTACGACCACCCTGTATATACGTATGCAGCCAAATATAATATGTACTTGAATTGTGTTGTATGTTTGCAGGCATTGAGAGACAGCAGATCACCATGCAGCAAAGTCGTCAGACGAAGGTTAATTTAGATGACGATTTACCCAAACAGAAACAGAAAAGTGATTAAAGAAGTTTGAAACTAGGAATATACAGTCTCCCAGAAAGGCCTAAAGGCCACAGTCCTTTTTACCACAGAACCAACTTGCCAGAACATGTGATGGACACGATATATAAATATCGCAGTACCTTTTGGACAGGGAGTAATGCTGCCTCACATAATGCGGCCTCACAGTGCTCCTTTATGTCAGGTGGGAAAACCTGAGAACTGGATATTGATTGTCATTGAACCACAACAGATCATCGATATATTTGAAGCTCAAGTTAAACTTGTTCGCAAAAAATACGTTGTTTTCTGACTAAAGTAACATACCCACAAAAGCACGAGGGCAAAATTACCTATTTCTAGTTTAAATGTTTGACACGAAGGTGTAGTTGCGCATTATGGTTTCGTCAGTTAATGTCAGGTGAAACTAACTTTCATTTTTGACATATCCTCATGAACCTCTGAGGGAGCACGCAAATGTAACTTTATCTGTGCTCACCCGTTTATTAACAAATGCCCGCTGGATCAAGGAATACAGCTGTCCTTAATATTGTCAGGGAGGTGGTGTCCACAAGCAACATTTCCAAACTTTGGAGTGCCACTTTTTGAACGACTGTAAGATACGGAAATGACATCAGCTGATTTTCAATCTCCACCAAATGTATATCATACCCAAATGAATTAGCGCAAAGAGTACACACTGCGAGGATGGTTGCATATCTCTTTGTGGTGATCACGTAATGACTTTATTGCAGTTACAGCCATCGATCAAAGGCTACAGTGATACTCATTCTTTCTTAAGTATTAATTTTCTTCTGAAGTACACATCGTGTACAATTTTTCGCGACTACCAGAGTGAACAAAGCCAAGACATATTGACTGGGATGCGATACATTGATACATTGCTATGTGTAGATTCCAAAATTGTAACGCAAAGATTAAGTGTATAAAATGAGTAAATTATCACACAAGATCAATCATTCTGAGGATGAGGTTTATAACCATAAAAGGCTATACAGTGGATCAAATACATGACAGCAGCAATATGTAATGGGCCGTATCGCATTAGTCATTTCACCCAGGAATATACCGTACTTGCCACACGAAGTCTTAAATGATCGCAAATCCAGAAAACAATGTTGGAAGCAGACAGGAAATCAGAGT